TTGAATTTATAAAAAATTTCTAAACATTATCTCATTTAAATATAACCTGTTACTAGTCATTTTTGTCCTATTTTGGATGCATATGAAGACTTTTTGACCTTCCCATGTGGCTAGCCATTTTAATCTCATATATATTTAATATAATTGAATTCTTGAACAAATATAATTTTATTAGTTGATAGAAAACATATTAGAATAATTTTTTTATTCAAATGTGGCTTTACTTACCCTTTCTCTTTAAATACCTCTCTTCTTTCTCATGTTAGGGCCGCTCAAAGAAACATCTCTAGCAAATCTTCCATTCTACCTTTCCTCTATACATGCTAAATCTAGAGAGGAGGAATTTTGATTCTTATTCCAAGTACTCTTTTCATTTACGAGATTAAAATCCTGGTTGGAAAGCTTCAACACAAAATCGAATAACATCTACTGGAGTTCTTGAATTTGGTTTCCTTCTCTAAATCTTTACTAGCGGTTCTTTTATCTTTCACCATATATTTCTTTCTTGAAAATATTTATTTTATGATGAAATACTTATTGGAAATTTTATATTAATGTTTTCTATATCTTATCTTTTAAATCCATAAAGTTTAGCAAAGCAAGTATTTTTACTTCTTTAAGGTGGCATAGATTTACATCTTTGATCTAATTCATTTTATTTTATTTGAAGAGTTGAAGTTTAAATCAGCAAGAATATATTTTTATTGAAAATATTATTCTTATTTTAAATAAAATATAAATATATCTTAAAATGAGCAAATTTAATATTTCATTTGCAAGCAGTGAGGTGATTAAAATTTATTTGTAAGATTACCTCAAATATTGTGGATATTTTATTGCAAGATAAATTGGAATTGTATTATTTACATCAAAATATCTTTTTCATTTTCTTGATCTAAGCCATTTGGCTTAGTGTAGTTTTAATTGTAATTAGATTGGGTTGTACTCGCCCGTGTAGGAGAATACTTAGGTTGTAAAGAACTTTTTTGGTGTAAAGAAGTGAGTTTTTCTAAGCAAACATGGAATTAGTGAATTCTAGCCCAAGAGTTGGCTAGCATGGACGTAGGTCGGATTGGAATCTGGGCCGAACCACGTAAAAATATTGTGCCTCTTATTTTCATTTCTTGCATTTATTTTTCTTTGTCTTTTTCATTAGAATTATTGTGTGACTACTAACTCTTTTCATAATTTCTTTAAAATCATTTTAATTTTCTTCTTTTAATAAAAATTTTAAGAACCCCAATTCACCTCACCCCCCCCCCCCTCTTTCCCCCCCCCCCCCCCCCCCTCTTAGGGTACCATAGTCATCTAACATATTCTAGAGAAAAAATATATCAAATTGGACTATATGTTTAGATATCATACAATATAATTAGTCTTAAAAAATTTTATCACTCTCTCCCCCTATGTGTGTGTGCACAGTTATCCAATTACAATCATTTTTTCTCATACTCAAGAAATACAAATAGAGATTTATAGACTTTATTACATGAAATCCTATTTTACCTTGTCTTGAAGTCTTCAACAATCTGGAGTAGTATATTGTTTCCCTGAAATATTAATGCACACAAAAATATCGAATATATGCTAGGAGAAATAATAAAATTAGAATAATAATATTTTGTTATCATTAAAAATCATAATCTCAAACTTGATTTTTGATTTGTAATAAGTTGAGCAGGTTATTTCTCCTAAAATGTCTAGAGATTTAGTCAGTAGAGGTCATTTATACTTGGTAGAGTACGGGAGAAAATCCAATGTAGTATGTGGCTTAGTATATGGTTATATGATGCAATATGAGAGGGATTAATGCACAGTTACTGAGGTATTTATTAGCAGTTTGATTGGGGTGGAATTTGAGTCATATACTGATCTCTTAAATAATTAAGTGCATATATTTATAGAGCTTGAGTAGTTATTTGCTTAGAGGTTCATTAGTATAGAGTGCTAGGTTATTGTTGGTGAGTTGGCAGTGACCAGACAGTACCCTCACGAGTCTCTACCTAATTACATTATTTGGTGGAGAAACCTTAGTCTTAAGTGTAAGCCTCAGTTATAGGAGCATCATTTAGTTGAGATTATATTGAAGAATATTGATGTTCCTATCTCTTTATAGCTAAAGAATTTTAGTATTCAAACCTTTCAAAAGCAATTGACTATGGTCACTAGTTTACGGGATAGTGTTATCGATGTGGTTCATTCTAAGGTGGAGAGTCAACCTCCATATAGACCACAAAAATATGAGATTTCAAGGGCATCACCTCAAGGAGCATCATTTAGTGGAAGTTTATAGTACTTTTGAGTCTCAGGATAGGGGCAAGAGGGTCATAGTCAGTCCATTACTATAGTAACCACTACCACCATGGCCACAGGTATCTCCACGACCACACATATAGCCATAGAAATAGGTACAAAAACCTGTGTAATTTCATCCATGGCCACAGGCTTATCAGTAGTTTAGACCCTCCTTTAGGACTCTCAAGTGTTAGAAGTTTTTGAAGTAGAAGCTTAGCAAGAAATTTCCCTTTAAGAGGGAAAGGGTCAAAAAAATCTTCAAGCTCCTTACTAAGAAAAACATCATAACATTTCCATTTAAAAAGTAAGTAGGAGAATAGGGTTAGATGAAGCATAAATTATAATTCCCCTTCCATCGACATATTATGCATGTCCTTGTGGACTATTATGTATTCAAGGATAGTGTGGAGAGCCTAATAGCTAGTGGGGAGAATCACTTTTAGGATAGTGACCTAATAGATCCTCAAGGCAAGGTGGGTCAAATTATTTAGATGACTACAAGCTCCAGCCAGTCTAATGTTTAGGGTGGTGATAGTATAGCACCACTTAGTATTGAGGGAGAGTGGCATCTTGCACTCTCTTATTTGAGTTTAAAAAGTTGAGTTTTAAAAATACCAATTTCTTTGGGAGAATTTAATTTATGAAATTTTAGTTTTGAAATTGAATATATCATTATGAATGATATATTGCCCACGGAGGCAAAAATATTATCCCCTAATGGGTTTAGATTATAAAATTTTGAATTTATTCTGATTATCATAGCCAAACTCAAGAAAGAAGAATATATAATCCCAAAGGATCAAAATGATATTCAATTGAGTGTTTGACTATAATAATTTGGATAAGGGATTATTTATTTCATAATCAAAGTCATGATAATAGAATAATATATCTTCATGAGGAAAGTGGATATCATCAACTATCAAATATTTGAATATGACAATAATGATCATTGAATTTGATTTTCCCAAAGAGAATTAATAAAATTTTGAAAACTTGATTTTGAAAAATTGATCTAGGTTCTAAATCTGCTATCAGTCCCTCATAGTGAATTAAGTTATAGGAAAATTAACTCCTCATATGAATACTATCGATTAAAATAATGGTATAAATTTCATCTAAAATTTTTAAGGAGTGATATCAAAGGATTGAAGTTTGAATTTCAAATGAGATTGTAAAAACTTTGAACACTTATTTCTGGAGGTCAAGGGATGAAAGGTTGGAGGAATTTTAGGATTCTAAAATAATTCAAAAATGCCCAGGTATACCCTATGTGTTGGGCTTTAAATTTTGGAATGAAGAGATTTAATTTGAGTTATCAATTTTACTAGAAGGTCGAGATTAGATTCCCAAATATTGAGGGCTTATAGTTTGAACATGCCTAAGAACTTAAGTCTGAATTTGGCACTTAATAGGGCTATAGCCCTAACCTAGCAAATGAAAGGCAAAAATAAACTTACCTTGGCCTGTATTGGGGAGCTAGCTAACCACCAAACCTCTTAAAATACATTTGTATAATATTTTATGTAAGTGTGGTAAGGACATTCTTTAATGAATTTTAAGGAAATGGGGCCAAAATCTAGAGAAGATCCTGATTTGCCCCTTAACTTATGTAGGGTGATATAAAGCTTGAAATAAAATGTAATTAAATTTTAGACTCATTTAAATTTATTCCAATTTGAGCTCATGAGTTTTTGTTTTTTAAGAAAAAAAAATTTATGGCTCATATCCTAATTTCTACTTATATTTACAATGTATATTTTCTATGTTTGTACTACCATTTTAGGAACACTGTATACCATCTAATGAAGATTCAAGGCTCAAGATTAGTTAGAATAGGTTATGCTATAAACATTTTTTAAGTATTCATTAATGTATTTTTTATTTCTTAATTCAAGTCTTGTAAGGGTGTATGCTAGCTTGGTGACCATGCACATACACACACTTAGAGGGAGTAAGTTTAATTAAAATCAAAAGTTCAAATTTTGAACTAATCATACAGTATAATTTATATTATATCACATAATTATCTCATCTAACTAATTTTATGGATGAGCTACCAAGGTTCCATAGGAGAAAGTTATAGAGTGAAAGTCTATGATTTTTCAAAATTTTGGTTTCCCAATTTTCATTCCTGTTAATCAGGAACTGGTGGATCTATGGCGGTGAAAGGCCGCCGAACTACATCTCCAGCATGGTCCTCTTCAAAAACTGGTGGAGGTATGGCTACTGATGGACGTCGTCTTTCATCGCCGACAAGGTCTCCAAACTTTGTCGGCAATAAGACGTTCGGTGGGAATATCAATGATCATAAAAAATTGGAGGTTAAACAGATAGATTTGGAATTCCTGAGAAGGAAATCTCAAGGTTCTTTGGTGATCAAGGATGTTGTGGAGAAGACTCCAAGGAAGGCTGTTTATGTGGAAGTGAAAGGTAAATCAATTGCTATGGAAGAAAATTTTTTGAAAACTTCTGAAGCTAACAAGGTAATTCTGGGTTCGAACTTGGCAGATACCTCTGCATCATCATCGGGTATGAAAATCTTTGTTAACAGATTTGGGAATTCAAATGCAATCCCTGGTTTGCCCAATTCGATAAATGTGAATTCTCCGAATTTTGTTAACAAAAATTCTCATTGTCTCAGTGATGATCCATCTGCCAAGGTTACAACTGGAGCGGACAAGATTAATGTTTAATTGCCTTTGATGACAGGGAAGAAAGTGAAGGAAAACCCGTGGGTTAATAAGCCTTACATTAAGATAGACTTCAAGGAGGAAGATCAAGTATTAATTGAAGATGGATTAGCAGTAAATATGTGTGAGGAGTTGGAAGTGGAAAATTCTAATAAACTCTTAAACTCATTGGTGATTAAAGTGTTTGGTAAGGAAATTCTAGCTCACATGGTAGCATGGGAAGTAAGGAGACAATGGAGCATGTTTGGTAAATTTCATTTCACTTCACTTGTAAAGGGATGGTTTTTATTTGCACTCGGTTCTACTGATTCTATGGAAGCTATTCTATCTGGTGGACCATGGTTTGTAAATGGCAATATAATTAGTATGGAGAAATGGTCACCAGAATTTTCACCTTTGTCAATGAAAGGGTTGACTTCACCAATTTGGGTTAGAATGCCACATCTACCTCTCCATTGTTGGGATGAGAAGAACATAGCAAGAATTGCTTCTATGATTGGCAAGCCACTTATGATGGATGGGAATATATTTCAATGGGGAAGAAGGGAGTTTGTAAGGGTGTGTGTGAGGATAAAGATTGATCAATGCCTTCCTTTAGGTGTTTGGGTGGAAAGTATCTCGGGAAGGTTTTTTCAAAAGGTTGAATATGAAAAAATTTCTTCCTTTTGTTTTCAATGTGGTATGATTGGACATGTTAAAGGTGAATGTATAAAAAAAACTTTAGTCCAGGAAAATGTGAAGGTGTCTAACTTTAATGATGGCTTGGCTTCTGAATCGGAGAAGAGGACTGAGGAAGTTGTGGCACCGAATTATGGACAATGGTTTCTTGTCAATCACAAGAGGAATAGAAGGAAAGCAAAAATAAATAATCTCCCAAAACAGAACGTAAAGTATGTGAAGAAAAATCCTATGCTCCAGAATAACAAAGATGCTGAGAAGTCTAGTGACCAGAAGGATTTATCTGTTCAAGGAAATGGGATCGAGAATCTTGTGAATGCAGATGAAACTCAACTAGAAGAAGGAGAATTCGTAAGGGAGCAAAATCATGTAAATAACATCCACCTAGACTTGAATGGGAAGACAGATGAAATGGTTGCTACTAAAGTTCGGAAACCTGAAGCTGTTCTGAGTAAAAAACTTAACTCTGACTGCTCCATTCTAGTTACGAACTGTAACAAATTTGAAATTATGGGTATGGATAATGAAATCTTAATGGAAGAAGAAGTGCAGGAGAGGAATGTGGTGAATGATAAGAGTTTATTTATTAACTCTTTGGTGGGTATAAAGTTGAATGAAAGTGTAAATGAAACAGAGGATAATGTTTGTGACAGAACGGATTTCAAATATTCTAAATCAAATGCTGTAAATGGTGACTCAAACAAAGTTATGCTTGCCAAAGAACTTATGTCCTTAGGACCTATAAAAATGCAGCTCGTGGAAGAATAATGGATGGTGGTGGGGGGAGAAAGAAGGAGGGTGGTCCCTCTCCAAAATTTTTTTAATAAATTCCATAGCCTTTTGGAATTGTAGAGGGGTGAAGAAGAGTGAAGCATCTCTATACCTTAAAGACTTTATTAAAGATTATAAAGTTATGTTTGTTGTATTGGTGGAGACAAAAATCAATGACTTTTTTTTTTTTGAGGAATTACAGAATGCCTTTAAAAAAAAATTTAAAAAAAAAATTACAAAAGTCTAAGTGATAGAGGATCTATCGCTTTCCTCCTTTAACAAATAATAAAAGGTAGGATGAACCATATTAACTTCTAGAACATCCCAAAGAAAATTACCATTTAAAGCATGGTTAGCACACCAATGGGATAGCTTATTACAGTTTCTATTAACAAACTGAAAAAGAATTACCTCAAAGCCATTAAGAAAATCCAAGTCCTCTTTAGAAGCTTTATCCAATAGTCTTTTGTCCACCTTTGTCAAGTTCTGAAAATGAGACATAACATTGGCATTATCTACTTCCACTATTATGCCTTTAGCATTGAGCATGCAATCTTCAATGAATTTACTGTGTGACCGAACAGCCATCCATTCAAGTGTTCCAATATTCCAATGTATAAGAGAAAAATCGAAAGATAGAAGCATTCTACCTTTGTGGTCTCTAAAGATATCGCCAATTCCAGCTTCATTAGAGCATTGTAGAGATACATCTATGTTAATTTTTATCCATCTGGGTGGAGGGGGATGCCAAGAAGAAAAAAATTAGCATATGCTGGTTAGCATCCCAGTGGTCCGAATGGATATAAGAAAAGGAAGTAGATGCGAAGGTAATGGCATTTATCACAATGATGCTATCATCCATCTCTTTGCCCTCTTGGATTAACAAATTTCTACTCTTCCAATAATTAAAGACTAAGGAACAATATAGATTTTGTAAAAAAGTATCAACTTCTCTTTCTTTTTTCAAAAAAGAAGCTACATCATTAAAATCATAGAGGATAGGAACCTTAAAACCCCAATTGTTGGCCTTCTTGATAAGCATCTTCAGTTTCGAGCAATTAGTAGATAAATGTTTTCCATCTTCAATTAAATTACAACCTCTTGGACAAAGGTTGCATCCACCTAACCTTCTATGTAACAAGAAGTCCATGGTGGGTAGTGCATCTTTTAAAAGTCTCCACCAAAAGTGTAATACACGGGGATTTAATTTCAGTCTCTTGCAGCAGCTCCAAATATTTAAAAAGGGGATGTCCGCCTCAACCTTATCTAATATTGCATTTTTTGCCAGAGCTGTGATTGTCTTACCGGAATGTAGATTTAATAACTCCAATTTGTCTTCAAGACTCTCCCTATCAATCTTCAGGTTGCAAATGAGCTTGACTATTTCATTCCCAAAGTATTTACAGAGTTCTTCTATGTTCCAAACTCCATCCGTGATGAAGCTTGAAAGATTGGGAAGTTTGTCAATCTCAATTGAAATAAAGGTTGGCCAACTTTCCAATTTTGTATTCAATAACCAAATGTCCTTCAAGATATTAATGGAAACCCCGTCTTTAATGTTCCATCTCACAATATGTTTTAAAGCTTTAGCACCATTAAGAAATAATTTCCAAGTTGAAGAAGGGTTTTGTCTACTTATCTCGTCAACACCAAATTTTCCATATCTAGCTGATATAGATCTGCTAAGCAGCGTATTTGTCTTGTTTAAGAATCTCCAAACCAATTTAGCTCTAAGAGGTTCCACTGAATTAATTGAAGAATGAATTCCTAGTCCTCCATGTTTTATTGGTTTGCATACTTCTTTCCAAGCTACATAGTGCAATCTATTAATACCGTAACTTTTATTCCATAGAAACTCCCTGCAAATTCTGTCCAGTTGTTTAAGAACAAGCAATGGTACCAAAGCTAACGTGGAGTAGAAAACGTGTATAGCTTGAATCACTGATTTGATGAGGATAATTCTTCCCTCCGTTGATATAAAATTCTTACCCCAAACATCCTTTTTATTAGCTGCTCTCTCCAAAATAATTGAAAAATCTAATGCTACAAGCCGTCTCTGAGTTAATATAATACCCATATAACTGAACTCCTTGGCTTCCTTGATACCAAATAGCTTAGAGATACTCCTCTTTCTCCTCCTGTTCATATTTTTGCTGAAAATCAGTGAAGATTTGTTAATGTTGATGACTTGTCCAGTCCAGCTGCAATACTCCACCGTAATCTCCTTAATTTTCTTTATATTTTCTACTTTAGCATTTGAGAAAATTAAGATGTCATCGACATAGCGTAAATGAGAGATCCTGGGAGCTAATGGAGTAACTTTTAAACCCAAATTTCTTCCTTTGGCGGTAAAAGCTTTAGTGAGTAATTGAGAGAAGAGAATGAAAAGATAAGGAGATAAAGGGCAACCCTGTCTAAATCCGCTTTTCCCTACAATTCTTTCCAAGACCTCACCATTAATTTGAACCAAAAAAATAGGATCAGTGACACAATCCATTATTAGATTAGACAATTTACTGGGAAAGCCAAAGAAAACCAAGATTTGTTTGAGAGTATCCAAAGCCATACTGTCGTATGCTTGTTCCATATCAAGTTTTGCTGCCACCATTCCTCTTTTAGATTTAGAAAGCATGAATTTGTGGAAAATTTCTTGGGCAAGTAGCATGTGATCAGATAAAGCCCTACCTTTTATGAATGCTACTTGTTCTTCAGACACCAGGCTATGAATGACTTTCATTAATCTATTTAAAAGGATTTTAGCCACTATCTTATAGATAGACATATAGAGACTAATAGGCCTAAAATTGGAAGGAGAAAGAGGGTTGCTTACTTTGGGTAAAAGAATTACCAAAGTTTCCTTCTAATAAGAAGACATTTTTCCTGTAGAGAAGCAAAGTTGAATGGCTTTCCACACATCCCTCCTTATTATATCCCAATAAGCTTTGAAAAAAGAGTATGTGATCCCATCTATTCCGGGAGCAATATTGTTTCTGATCTCTTTTATCACTATCTCCAACTCTTCTTGAGAAAATTCATCCTCTAGTAATTCACAATCTTCTTGGTTCAAGTTGTTTTCAAAATCTGGCCAATTTGTCAATTTACAGCCTCTATGTTTCCATTTTTCCTTAAAAAACTGAGCAAAACAGTCTTTTAAAATGGCTGGATCTTCATTCTTGAGTAGTCTTATATACTTGGTATTCCTTCTTCCATTTGCAAAAGCATGACAGAATAAGGAGTTTAAATCACCTTCTTTCAACCATTTAGCTTTAGCCCTTTGTCTCCACCATGTATTTAATGTAGCAAGAGTAGAATTAAATTCAAAAAATTGTTTCTAAGGATCAAACTTTGCTGGCTGGAAAAATCTGCTCCGAAGCTTCTTCAAGATGTAACTCATCAATTTCCATTTTTAAATTCTTCTTTAAAACTTCAAGTTTTTGGTGTTTTGCCTTACTCCAAAAAAATAAGGCTTTTAATACTCTATTCATCATTTTGTTTAGAGCTTCCATGTCATCGCCTCTCACCGGTTTAGCCCAGGATTTGCTGACAACCGAAGTGGCTGCTGCATAAGACAGCCAAATTTCTTCAAATCTTCGAATTCTATTGCCATTAGGAGGTTGATTAAACAGTTTCAAAACAATGGGGCAATGGTCGGAGGCGATTCTATTCAGATGCCTTATAGAAGCATGATTGCTAAGATTCAATGCTTTAGAATTTAGAATGCATCTATCAAGCCTTTCTAGTATTCGTGCACTCCCAATTTTATTATTACACCAAGTAAATTTGGAACCAAGAATGCTTACATCATGTAAGTCGTTCCTATTCATAAAGGATTTCATCTCCATTGGCCCGCCTGAGAATGAAAATTTTTTCCCTCCTTTCTTCTCATCTTGAGAGATGATACAATTGAAGTCTCCTCCGGCTACAAAGGGAATTTCTTGATCTACGGCTTCATCTAAAATTCTCCACAATTCTCTTCTACCTTGGACATTCCTGCTACCATAGATTGTAGCAACTTTCCATTTACCCTTGTTGAAAATTTCAAGTTCACCGACCATACATTGATCCGAAGAATCAGTCAGAGAAAAATCCACTATAATAGAATTCCAGATAACCATTATTCCACCAAAATTTCCTCTGGATGGATGAAGTATGAAACTCCAATCTTTTCCCATCATCTTACCAAAGTCTTCCTTAGAAAGAGAAGTCAATTTTGTTTCAACTATACCTACAAAGAATACATCCCATTCTTTTATAAAATCCTTCAAATAAAAGGAGGCCTCCTTCTTGTTAGCCCCCCTACAATTCCAAAAACTGATGGAATTCATTTTGACTTGAATGGGGAGATCCCCCCACCCTTGGTCTTGATAACACTGTTTCTAGTTTGTCTTGACATTGAATTTAGGCGCCCCAAGAACTTTATTTCTTTGGCTAGCTTAATCTTCTGAGAGGTTGGTTTTCCTATGTTCACCGAGCTGTTAGTTCCATGCAGAGATTTGCTGTTAATATTAGTAATATTTTGAGCAGTAGAAGGATCCACTTTCTTATGAAATTTTTCCTTCATCACTGAAATTTCACCTTCTTCTATTTCAAAAAAATTGTTCCGCTTGAAAATCTGCACCAACGTCATCATCACGTAAGTCATTTAACAGCTCAAACTTATTCATAGGTTTACCAAAACATTAAGTTTTGGATCGTCCTCATGATTTCATCCCAGACTTCTCTATTCTGATAAAACTGCAGTATGACTGTGTTAAATACAGCACCTAATTCCAATGCAGCATCTCCAGAATTACGAATTTCAACTTGATTGATTTCAGTAAAAGAATTATTTCCAATTTCTCCTTGATCTGGAAGCAACCCCTCTTGCTCTAAAGATAAATTCCAAATTTTGAGATCTAAAAACTGATAGGGAGTACTTGAGTTCGTAGATAATCCCTTAGGATATACCTGAGTTCGCAAGCAACCCTTCCCATTAATATTATCTGAAGCAATAAGAA